ATATCCCAAATAGTTCCAGTATGTTACCAGAATGGCCCCAAAACGGCCAAAACTGGTCTCAAATGATGTCCCAAAACATTCACGTTCTGGTCCCAGAGTGGTAACAATCGGGGAACCAAATAGTCCCACGATGGTCACAGGGTGGTCTCAAAAGCGCTCCCAAACGGTGTCCTACTATGGTCCCGGAGTGGTCCCGGAATGGTCCTGAAATTGGTCTCAATTGGTGTCCCAAATTGTCACACTCCGTCCCGAAGCAGTCCCAGAGTAGTCTTGAAAGGCCAAAAGTCGTTTGTCCTAAATAATCCCACTATGGTCCCAGAGTGGTCCCAAAAGTGGTCTCAAAACTGCTCTCTCTGTGGGACATTTGGCCATTCCAACAATCAGGCAATTTGGAACAGAGAGAGCAGTTGCATGGAAACAGGGAAATGGCCCTCATCAAACGGCACAGAAAGGAGAAAGAAAACGAGTGCATCTTCCCACAGGCAGCAGAAAGATTCATCTGCTTCCTACTAGTAGTAACAAGTGTACCTCGCCACCTTCTGTGGGCAGATGCACTCGTTTATTTATCGTTTCGTGTGCCCTGCGGCAAGGGCCAAAGAATATAAATAGCCAGTTGAGACAGTCCAGGATAGAGAGCTGGTCCCATCGAGCATCCTGCCTGACCCGGGATGAAATGAACCGGGACTTCCGTAGGAGCGAAACACTATTTGCAAAGTCCCAGGATGTTCTCTGTTTCAATCTTTCTGGACCCTAAAAACAAAAAAAACAAAACAAAAAAAAGGTGCAAAACAGTCAAAACTTTAAAAACCTTTCTGAACCTTTTCTAGAATTCCTTTCTATAAGTTAACAGCATTTCAAAACACATTTATCCTGATCAGGCCTCCAATAGTTCCAATTCTCCTAGAATCAGATAAATACCATAATACTAAGGGCTACACCCTTGGGGTGGGGGGGGGGAAAGACACCCTGATAAAGGGACAAAATTGTGCACAGAGAAAAGAGCACAGAAAACCTGACGTCAGAGGCCAATTTGGTAGGTGAAAGGGAGGGAAAAGAGGAGGAGAGAGGTGGAGAAGAAGGAGAAGGAGAGGGAGGCAGGGAGGGAGAGATAAACAAGGAGGAGACTGAGATCTCGTCTTGACGAGTTTCTCTTTTCCTTTCCCAGTGTCTACATGAAACCCAACACTATACAAAATGCAGGAAGAAGGGGCTTCACTCTGCTGTTTCCTTTTCCCTCCCTCTCCCCCTGCTTTACCTGGAATAGCTCGCGCACCATCCTGGCTCCTTCTCCGACATACTTCTGCACAAGCTCACTCCCAATCACACGGATGAAGCAGGCATCTGTTCTGTTCGCAACAGCTCTTGCCAGCAGAGTCTTCCCCGTACCAGGTGGTCCATAACAGAGCACACCTTTCGGCGGGTCGATCCCCAGCTTGACAAATTTCTCCGGATGAAGCATCGGGAGCTCGACGACCTGCTCGCCCCACGCAAAAGCAACAGCTTAGGAGGAACATCCACGAAGAGTAGAAGTCGAACTGAAGGAAGGAACAACTTCGGAGACCACAGGTTATGTCAAACAGGATCCTATAAAAAGCTAGAACCTCAACTGAAAACATTTGCGACACTAGCTTTCATTCTTTTACCAAATTTCGGTACAAATTTTTTGTAACTTTGTATTGCAATACTGTACAACAATTACCCCCCCCCCCGGATAGTTCAAGGTTTTTCAAAACATAGCACCTCTCCCTGAGTTTCAAAACATAACCGCCTTTCCAGGCATTTGCAGAGATAACCCCTCTAGTCACAGCCACACACCACCTCTCCCTGAATTTCTCTACTTTCCATTTCACCCCTGTGACTCTGTAGTGGTCTGTCGTTCAACTGTGGGACTCAATTGTTTTGCTCATCGTCTGGCCATATGCAAGGGAAGACACTCGTGTGCCAGCCCAAGCACCATAGATAAGTTTGCATGAAGGTCATTGACTACAGTTATGCTAAGGAGAAGAGGAGGAAGGATGTTTACAACTTCCCATCTATCTTCATTTTCTCACTGCCTTCACTCCCCAACGAAGGAAGCAAATTTTGTGATATCATTCATAATACTGCAAAGAATGGCTGAACACCAGCTGCCGCATAGCCCTAGTGGATTTATCCACCACATCGTCCTGCCAGGTGTTTAGCCCTAGAGGATTTATCCACCACATCGTCCCACGACGTAGGCACCCGCGAATTAGAGCTGATTGGGTGGACCGTAACAACATTTGCACATATGATCCCGTAATCTCATATGTGTACACACACACACACACACACACACACACACACACACACATCCATCAGTCAAATGCACCCTGGGCAGACTGTTATTTATAGATTCAACCTCCTGACGAGTAGGTGAGAGTCCGACAAAACAGTCTGCCTTTTTTTTTTGGTGGAGTTGTGTACAGCACACACACACACACACACACACACACACACACACACACACACACACACACACAAACACACACACACACACACACACACACACACACACACACANACACACACACACACACACACACACACACACACACACACACACACACACACACATCCGTCAAATGCATCCTGGGCAGACTATTCTTAAACCACCAGTACACCCAGACCTGGAGGCGCTCCACTTCGCGCCAAGCTTTGCCAAACCGGCAGCGGTGCACTTTTTCAAACTTTTTTGGCTGGCGCCGCCAGCCATTGTGGTCCAGTAGGCCCGAGGTGCAGCAAACGAAACTTTTTCTGCAAGGCTGGGGCTGTAACAGGTTCACAACCTCCTGATGAGTCAGTGAAAGTCTGACAAAACAGTCTGCCACAGTCATGCGTTTTTCTTGTGGAGTTGTCTATAGCGAACACGATAACACACACACACACACACACACACACACACACACACACGCACGCACGCACATGCACGCACACGCACATGCACTCACACACACACATTATCCATGCATTCCAAATGCCTTCCAAGAGACCAGCTCACCTCTCTCATTTTCTCTATTTGCTCCTTGCAACCGCCAATATCACTGTATGTTACATCCGGCTTCTCCTCCACAGTCATCATTGTAACGCTGGGATCTATCTTCGGCGGGAGTGGAATCTGTATCTGATATTTGTTCCGGTCAACTCTGCACCCAAGCCACAAAACGCCTTCATCAGTATGTGCCTATTGGATGCCCATCCAATAGGGCTCCCAACATTCGAATGCTGAGCAGTACTGGAACTCGTCGCATCTTTATCGGACCATGACAAACACCATTCATGACAGGGATACCTTCTTAAAGTGTATTCATTAGGAAAAAGTGCATGGAGCATGACAGTCACGGTGATATCCAATTTGGTACATTGGCTGAGTACTAATCAGGATTAAGGAACACACAGGGGAATATCCTGCTCATGAGGCCATTCCAAGCCCAAGTGCTGTTCATCACTGAAGCAAAGCTAAGAAGGTAATCACGAACTCCAGGAATCACTGCAGATTAGAAGTTCTCTCCCATGAAGCATGACAGTCACGGCGGTATCCAATTTGGTACATTGGCTGAGTACTAATCAGGATACAGGAACACACAGGGAATATCCTGCTCATGAGGCCATTCCAAGCCCAAGTGCTGTTCATCACTGAAGCAAAGCTAAGAAGGTAATCACGAACTCCAGGAATAACTGCAGATAGAAGTTCTCTCCCATCTGTGTGATGTGTACTAACAACCTGAACGAGGATATTGTCGAATGCCTGATCTCCCATATTGTAGAAGACAGGTTATGGAACAGAACCACAAAGCTTGAAAGCTAGGATCTCCGTCATCACGATTTTCCACCTCCTTCCCTCCCCCCCTCCCTTCTCCCTTTGCAACCTTCCTCGCCGTTGAAATCCGTCATCTGCAAAAAGCGCCTAGAACATGGTATCTCCTTCTGAAAGGCCACCCATGGGCTATCTTTTGTAGAAGACGAGTCACACTCAGAATCCACTGCATGACAATCGAGAAGGAAGCGCCCTGGGCACCGCTTACTCGGCTTGGTTGAACAAAGTGAAAGAACTGGCCAAGGGGAATCCGCAGCGTTACGAGGCCAAGAAGAAAAGACTTCTTAAGGGGTGGCTGCAAAAGCGGAAAACTGCCGAGATAATTGGCAATAATCGGAGATGGGAGGCCTAGTCTCAGTCTCTAGTGGTTCTTGGAGCCCAAGTCAGGCAGACAGTCTTTGGTCCACCGAGGCTGCGGGTATTCTGAAAGGGAAGAGCAAGCTGACAGTCAATCCTCCCGAAAGGAGTAATCAATGCTGTCCAGGGGTCCTTCGGCCTTGACAGAAGGCCAAATTGAAGTCATTCCTGCTGTATATGTTTGCCGACCTAACGGTGGAAAAGGAGCCAACCGTCGCTCCACAGAGCGGATAAGGTCCTGTTTTGCCTCAAAAGAAAAGAACAAGAAAAGTCCTCCCAACTAGAAGTTCACAGCGAAAAAACCTCGATTGCAAGACACCACCCTACTGGGCACCTTTTTCCTCCCTCAGTCAAAGGGAAACAGGCTGGTCATGAGGCCGTTCCCAGTGCAAAGCGCTGTGCACCACTGAACTGAAGTTACATATGAGCATTCATGCAAGCCCTATCCATGGCAATCAAGAACTGCAGGAACAATAAGTAAACATTAGCAGTCCTCACCGACATAAGTTTACAACGGGAACACTCAACTACTCCCCCGTACTTGCCGCCTTTCTCATGGCTTGGAAGCGGCCATCCCGTGATAGTGATTGGAGTAGAGTTATGCCATGCACATGCTAACCGGACTGTGCCTGTATGAACACACAATGGCATGGTGCTGCAACGGTCCTCTGAAGGGCTCCTTTCACCATCAGTGGCAGAACCTGTCTGATCTGCACAGGCAAGAGACACGGCCTGAACAGGTAGACAGAGGAGGGGAAGGAGGATCGGCCTGAACGTCCTCCAGGAGCAGCAGAGATTGCAACCGAGCGTCCGCATAATGTTCCTGATTGACGAGCCAGATCAAGTGGGACTCTGCTGCTCAGCAATAGTAAGGGGCGATATGATTGAGCAACTGTACCCTACTGCAATTATCCCACAGACTCTGTGTGTCTGCGCGCTTGTTTCTGGAACCTGAACCCCCCAGTGTGGCGGCTGACAAGAGGCCGACCACTGGAGGTCGATGGCCTGGCCCTTGGAAAGGTCAGCAGCCCACAAGTCAGGGGCTGCTGATAGTCGGCAGTGGAACTCCGGCCCCAGCTTCACACCCCTGAAGGTGTTCTGCAAACAGATCAATGGTTCACTTCCCAGCTCCCTAATCATGACAACCTGTGCCCTCACCCTTCCGTTTGTAGCCCCTCTCCAAACCAAGACACCTGCCTTACCCCTCCCTCAACATCAGCTAATCTCCTTCCCTGTCTGTCTGTCTGTCTGTCTGTCTGTCTGTCTGTCTGTCTGTCTGTCTGTCTGTCTGTCTGTCTCTGTATCCGTCCACCCACCCATCCATCTGTATAAATCCATTCCTCCCTCCCCTCTGTCCCCCCCCCTCCATCCCTCCCTTCCTCCGTACCTCTGTCCTCCCCCTCCCTCCTCCCGCTCGTCCATCCCTCACCCTCCCTCCCCTCTGTCCCCCACCCTTCCATCTGTATCCATCCATCCATCCATTCCTCCCTCCACTCTGTTCCCCCTTCCATCCCTCCCTCCCTCCGTACCTCTGTCCCTCCCCCTCCCTCCTCCTGCAAACAGATCAATGGTTCACTTCTGAGCTCCCTAATCATGATAACCTGTGCCCTCACCCTTCCTTTTGTAGCCCCTCTCCAAACCAAGACACCTGCCTTACCCCTCCCTCGCCATCAGCTAATCTCCTTCCCTGTCTGTCTGTCTGTCTGTCTGTATCCATCCACCCACCAATCCATCTGTATCCATCCATCCATCCATCCATCCATCCATCCATCCATTCCTCCCTCCCCTATGTCCCCCCCTCCATTCCTCCCTCCCTCCATACCTCCTCTGTCCCTCCCCCTCCCTCCTCTCGCTCGTCCATCCCTCGCCCTCCCTCCCTCCCCCTCCGTCCCTCCATCACTCCATCCCTCCATCCATCCATGATCCAGTTTTTTGGTTACTTCCTTTCTCGCCCTTTCTCATTCTAGTTCCTATTCCGGTTGACTTCTGAACGAGTCAATTATGACCGTGATGATCCAATTCTTCATGCTCATAGTGGTTCGGCGTAGTTATCTCATGCAAAAGCAACCACAAACAGGAATCTATACAAAGATTCAGGACACCACTTACCCCACTCGCATCCCCTCATCGATATCTGTTGGTGATACACGCTCCCCGAGGCCCACCACAAACTGTGAACAACAGGTCACAAAATGGGAACCACTCAGTCAAAATCTATACAGGACACTTGGCATGAAAACACCATGCCACTCCTCTTTTCACATCATCACAACCATTCTGCTGGGACGAACCAAAACAGCACACTCGATTCCCAAGGGATGGGATGCAAATATTTCCCACTCTCTCAAGCTATCTAATTCCCGTGAACATAACACCCGGGCATTCAAACATACAATGGCTACTGGGTGTTTGAGTTTTACTCGTTTACCAGTCCCTTTTCCAGCTATTTCGTTATGACGTGGCGGTTAACCAACCGTATTCAGAGGGGCCTGGCCTACCAGGCCAAAACGGCTGGCGGCACCAGCCAAAAAGAGTATCTTGCACCTGTGTCGCTGTGTTTTCTTTTGCCGCACAGTAGAAGTCCGGGTGGGGAAAATGAAAGGCTCCAAGGGAGTAGTGAGAGGCTCTGAGGGAAAGGAGGAGTATCAGCAACCTTTTGCTGCTCAGGGTAAGGAGAGTCCAGCGGGCGTGATCCTTCTCACAACTTACCTTTTTCGATCATCTGTGTGATTACAGGTGTGCACAATGCACATCCAATTAAGGTCTTACATGTGATGGGTGAGGAGCATCAGCAACTTTTGCCTGCTCGGAACGCATGGTCTCACATGCGATTAAGGGTGTGCACATGCAATCGAGCAGCCATGAAAGCGACGAAAAGCACCTGTGCTTCAGTAGTGATCTTTGAGGCACGTACCTTGGGAAACTAGAGCAGACATGCCCAACCCCTTTTAAGAACCCGAGAGCCTTCCCCGTACCCCCCCTGACATATTACGAAGGGAAATAGGGCTAATGATACAATCACTCGGATAGAAAATGCTAGCTGGCATTATTCAAATACAACACTTATTGGCAGTGTGAGTAATGACTGCCGTTCGTTCTCGGGTTGTTAGAAGGGTGGGCATGTCTGCTCTACCGTCTTCACCCGAATAGAACGCCCGGTAATTATCGCCGTATCTGGCGTGAAAGTTGTGCCAAATACAGCTATAATGACTGGGTGTTCTATTCGGGTCAAGACGGTAGTTTCCCAAGCTACATGCCTCGAAGACCACTACCAAAGTGCACGTGCTTTCCTCTTTTGCATGGCTACTCAATCGAACACAACACCCAGGCTATCTATTTGAATTCTGAACACAACGTGCAGGCGTACTTGTGGAAACAGAAGTCTATATGAAATTCGCCTTTTTCCTTTTTGGAAATGGCCTAGGCATTATTCCGAGGGGAGAAAGGTCATGTCACTGTGTCAAACACCAACGCACACGTACCTGGCCTAGCTCAGTTGATACACCCACCGACAGTCAAAATATAGATCTCAGTTTGAATCCCAATCAACTCAGATGAGTAAAGTAGTCTGAAGTTAACTGGGCCCAGCCGATCTGAAGATGATATCTCAGGTCCCATTGCCCTTTAGGAGGGAGCACAAAAAAAAAAAAAGGAAGGTCACCAACACACTGCAATCACCATTTAACTTTAATGGGCTCTGGAACCGGCAGAGTGAAAAAATGTGGTCGGGGACGACACTCCATAGAAGGCAAATAACATACCTTCGCAATCTGCTTGACATTGATGATGTATTTGGCATCATCACCTCCCGGATTAATAATCTTAGTGCACCTTGCAACCTGTTCACAAAGGCACAATGCATGGATAGATCTGTTACACATTTTTTTTTCTCTTATGATTTTTTATTGGGGAGCAGCCCCTAACTCACTACAGTCATCTCATTCCCCCTGGGCTCGAACTCAGGAGCTACTTACTCACGGTTGCATGTGTGTGCCATTAAGCTTCATGGGCTGTGTGCTGTGACCCATTTTCTACTACAAAATGGATGAGAAATAAATGGCTGGCAATTGGACCAATTTGCAGAAAAAGACAACAAAAGAGGGAAGCAAGGTAGTAAAGCCACACACATACAAAGCTGCAATTAGTACGTAAAACAAATACACAAATGAGTGGTGCTTAGCATGTGAAAGTTGGCAGCAGGAAGTTAAAGACTATACCAGCAGATCTTCCAACTGTCCTGCAATCACAATCACACAGAACTACGCATTTTGTCTAAATCAGGGACGACATACACATCGACTTATGTTATACAACGCTTTATTCTGTGTACCTCATCACAATGCAGAATGACACACATTGCAGGGCCAAGCCACTGCGCAAAACGAAACCACAACTATCGAAACCCAACTCACTGATTGGCCAGCAGTGGGGGCACCCCATTGTCCAACTTCAGCGCAATTGATAAGCCTACAGCCAAAAGCTTATAGGGGGCCGAGCGTGCACCCACTGCTCATCCGGTGTGAATCTTGCATCCACAGGTTGCGTGGAAATGAATTACGCTGCAGACAATCTCAAACGAATGCCGATGCGACCAAAAACCAGTCGGCCTTCCCTTGTATTTCCTTCCTGTTCTACTCCAGAGGAAATGTCCTAATTGGAGAAGGGGTTGGCACTATTCAGAGGCTGGCATTGACCTAGCATTCCACAGATATCCGACAACCTCCCCATCCTACACTTTGCTTAGTGATCCTAAGCCATCAGTTTCTCTTACAGGCAAGCAGAAGTGATGAAGCCGTCAACCTCTACTACCACCCATAACCCCCACCTAACACAGCCTTAGCTGCCATAGCATAGCTCAGAAGTTCACGGCGCACCTCTGTAGTGAATGACTGCAGCTTCCGGAAAGAGTGAGAACTAATCCAAACGTGGAGGTCACTTCCACCTTTGAGGAGCTTCGCTTGAATCGACCTGGAAATGAGTGAAGTAGAGGCCTCTCGGCACTTTTTTAGAAAAGGGAAGGAAAAACCAGTTCCAATAAAAGCTTCTATGGCCCAACACTTCGGCTGCATCTGCCCACATACAAGAGATGGTTAACAGGGGTCCAAATTTTCAAACAGTTTATAACAAAACCCAAAAGGTCATTTTAACCAGTGTTGTCCACCCCTGTCCGCAGACACTCGGAGGGGATCTGGGGGTCCCGAGCCCCGGGTCCAAAGCCCCCCCAACAAAAAGAAAAAAAAAAGGAGGGGTTGCACAGTGTTGCCGTCTACCAGCAGGCATTTTCTGCATTTTGCAGAAAAATGGCCTCTCCAGAACCCCCCCCCCCGCCCCCTCCCCGCCGGGATAGACCCCCCCTGCCGGGACCGGGGTGGTCCTTCGTGCGGGGGCGGGAGTTGCCGGTGCAGGACCGGGGGTGCCGGGGCTGGGGGTCCAGGTGCGTGGGCGGGAGTTGCCGGTGCAGGACCGGGGGTGCCGGGGCTGGGGGTCCAGGTGCGTGGGCGGGGTTCGCAACGGGCAGGCTCTCTCTCTCTCTCTCTCTCTCTCTCTCTCTCTCTCTCTCTCTCTCTCTCTCTCTCTCTCGGGTGGTGAGGCGGGGGGCAGAGGGGGGTCAGGGATCGGCGGGTGTGGAGGTTGCTGCCGTGGGCAGGGGTGGCAGGTGCGGGGATTGGCATGCGGAGCTGCGGGTGGCTGGCGGTAATCGGGGCGCAGGGGTGGCGGGTTTCCCAGCTGCCGGGGGTGGCCACCAAGGATGGATTGGCGGGGGCGGGGGTCCGGCGCTGTCTCTTATACACATCTAGATGTGTATAAGAG